ATCTAGAAATTTATGCTTCCTCCATCTCTTGTTCAATTTCTTCCTCCATCTCTTGTTCAATTCCTTCCACCATCTCTTGTTCTGTACTTGGCATTGCAGGGTAGTACTTGTAGTGGAGATCTCCCACATCATCTCCAGACAGCTTTTCCCATCCATTTGGTCCCACATGATAAACTAATTAAAATGAAAAGTTGAAACCAAATTAGGCTCTTGAACAAGGGAATTAAGTTTGCAGAACACACACAAACAAGCAGAGAGAGAATACCGCTAGCAACTCCACCACTGGCTCCATCTCGGAATGTTGCATGATAAATAGCTCTTCTGGCCAACTCTGCAGCTTCTTCTACAGACATATCATACTTATACCTGGCATTTACAAAATTGTGGAAAACGGCTATGAATAAGAACATCTGTGAAGCCTTGTCCCAATATAAGAAACTTTTCATCTATTAGTTTTTCAATGTTTAATCACCAAGTCAAATTCTGATATCTAATTGTTCATGGAATGAACTGCCTGCTTCACCATTCATGCTTAAGTGCAAAACTTTGATTAAATGTTTGCATTTCCCAAGAAAAAGTTGCATTGAACACCTGGACTAAGTTTCCAAATTCCAATACAAATGGAGAATAGCTACATAAACAAGTGTAAAAGAACCATACCCGCTATCTAGTACACCGTAAGCATAAGGTGAACCAGATCCAACAGAGAAACGTGTTCCCTTCAACCTTCCCCCTTCACTGTCAACATAGTATAACCCGGGACCCTAGAAACCACATAAGATCCACTTGTGAGAAAAGGTTAGACTACATAAATATACAAAGTGAGATAGCAAAAGCAAGGAAGTGGAAGGGAGGGAGAGAATATCATGATGTCAATACCGTTTCATCCCATCCAGCAATCATTGTGCCGACCGACAGTCCCATCCCCCGGTAAGAGTAAAGAATGTTTGCCAACAGCTTGGATGCCCCTGTGACTGAAATTCTACGCTTATTTGCCAATTCATGCAGCCGGCACTAAATTATAGCAAAAACTTACCCATTAGAAATTTAGAATTTCATGTATGTAAAAGAAACACATGGGTGATGTTTGATCACAGAAACTGTTTATATTAAACCAGCAGCCATATACTAACATACAAGCAAGCGTACGCACAAGAGTGTCCCACTCCATTCTTTTTTTTTTTCCTCATTTTCAAGGCTAGACAGCTCAGAAAATAGTAGAATGAAATAGGTTTAGCCACCTAAGTAAAATAAAAGGATGCCTAAGACCATGTCTACATTAATACCCGAATACACAAATAATGTTATTTAAACAATATTGTTCAGTTAGAACAATCAAATTCCAAAGAAATAAAAAAACAGAAAAAGAGCAGCTATCTCAAATATGAATCAATATAAGTAGATGATAACCCACTGCATAAAAGGCCACCACTAGGCTACCCCACTAAAATGTCCATAAATGTGCAAAATTGAAAAGCATAAAGCACAACCACAGAACAAAATCACAAAACCTAACATATTACCAATAAAAGGCAACCACTGAAAGCAAAATTGAGTCAAGTCAGTACCTTAATGCCCAAATTTCTATGCCAAAACTGGCAGTCAGCAGCTCCACCAGCCATTGTGCCAAGCATGTAAGGATTGATCTCAATAATCTTCTTGACAGACTGTGATGCTACAAAAAAACAGGGAAAGAATCATAAGTCTTGCTTTAGTATATATGAAAACAATATAAAGAAAAAAAAATGCTGCAGGCTCCTAGCAATGCATACCACCAAGCAAAATGGCAGTAGTACTCAATATGCCACTAAAAAATTAGTGAGTAGATAAAAAGAGGGATGAAAGTTTGTGCATGAGATGTATGAAATCATAACCATCACCCTCGATAACATACTTTCAACTACCTCACTATGTCACTACTACAATTGATGAAAGCACTCTGATAACAATGTAAAAAATGTAAAACAGTTATGATCATTGACAATTGACACCAATAAGAAGGTTGAGAACCATTATTATAAAAGTTAGCCTATAATGGTTTTTTTATTTTAATCAGCAGTTAATCTACAATGGTTAAGAAGTGAATGCATTTTCCCTGAATGTATTTCCATTGAAAGATTCATTAAGTGAATTGATTCAACATGTTTCACAGAACAGCCAGAGCAAGTAAACCAGAGAACTCACATATGTAACCACCCATGCTTGCACGAGAATCAGCAGCTACCATGACACCCTCCTTGAAAATGAATGCAAGTGTCGTGGTACCCTTTGCAGGTTTCACCATCTGAATGGCTTCCTTCTGGAAGCCATCAAACTGAAATATACAGAAAAAGGCACACATTTAAGCAAGGAAATATTCTTCTTCCATCACACAAAACCAATAAATAGCAGAAGGCAACAAGGGCATCTCAACTCATTCAACTCACATCGGTAGTAGCAGGGATGTCAAATGAAGGGGCAGCTGCTAAGCCACCAACAAGCTCACTACTAGCACCAACAAAGGGTGCAGTTGATTCGAAACCACTAAGATCAAGCTTCATATTTCAAACCCTAATAAGTTAAAGAATTAATCACAAATATCTATTTCATCACATGGATTGCTAGTCAAAACCACTAAAAAGATATCGCACCAAAAACTAAACCTAATCATGGTTGGTTGCAGAGAAAATAAAAGAAAATATCAAATTTTGAGAAAAGTAACTCCAATTAGCAGGGCGGAGTCGCTCAACGTCATTTTCAACCACCAGAAAGAAGCTTCCGGTGAAGATTCGAGGCTGGAATCGGAAAACATAATAGATAATCTAATCCCGACTCGAAATTTTTAGAAACCCTGGGATTCAAAAAGGAAAAGGCCAAAGTTTCATCGATTCGATCGTAAGAAAATCTAGAAGATGATCTGGAAAATGTTACCTTGGAAGCCGCGGAGATGATCTGATAGAACCAGAACCAGGAGAGTCAAGAAAGAAGGAGAAGACAGAACCCAGGGAAGAAGAAGAACCAGAGAAGAGAGGAAGAAGAACCAGAGAAGAGAGGAAGAAGAACCAAAAAAGAGTGAAAAGGTCAACTGATTGTATTCGTCAATGAACAAAATGAGATTTAAAAGCTGTACCCTTTTATATTTGGGCTGATTACAAGAAACAGTTGGTTCTAACGAACTAGCTCAGGCTGGCCTACAATTTTGAACCACGTGCAAAATAGGAAAACGAAGAGGTTTTCTTGCGCTACGGGAAAGTTTGGAACGTCCGGGCCAGGTCGGATCGGAATTTGATATCGGGATCGGTGAAATATAGTGGGCTGTATACTTGGGCAGGGAAGAGATTGGGCTTCTGTCTGAGTAAAATCATTAAATATTGGCTGAGAAAAATTTTAGTGCTGGCTATGGGGTTCGAACCCATGCGCACTTATGTGCAGAAGATCTTAAGTCTTCCCCCTTAACCTCTCGGGCAAACCAGCCGAATTGTTAAGTTGTTTACATAATCATTCTATAAACAATTATCAAAACTCATTCAAGTTAACGAAAAATCTACAGATTTTTTTGCAGAAATATGTTCATCATGAAATATTTCATGATTTTTGCCAATGGAAATTCAAAACGGAAAATAGCTTTTGAAAAATAACAACAAAGAACTCATCTTAAGGTGTAATTTCAATTTCTACAATCAAAAACGATTTTTATATTGATAAGATATTGATATAATAATTAAAGATAATATTAAAGTTGTAAGAAATCTCAAATTCAAATTATTAACTAAATTCCTAAAAATTGCATGTATTATTAATGAAGTTAAAGATATATTATAGTAAAATCACAACCATTCTTAGGTCCTTGGTGGTCCAAACATAATATGCAACTTTTTGAAGTAGTTTTCATGCGAAGAATATGGACACAACCAACTTTTTTAACAATCACATGCAGTTGGTGATTGCACTAGTGTCTCTAAACTACTGTCTACTTCATCAATTATAATCACATACACGGATAAACCACCTACCATGGAACAAACTTGGTCCTCCTTATAAATAAATTTGTACAAATTGATTAACATTTTGGAATTCAAGGCTGGCTATTCTACTAGCTAGGAAAACTAGTACTTTTCAAGCTGTTAGGATTAACTAATCAAGTGATGGAATTGCTGTTCTAAAAAAAAAAAAAAAAACTAATCAAGTGATGGTATAATGCCATCCAACCCATGAAAACATAAATTTGAATCACTAATGTTATTTTAGTATAAATAATTTTAAGAAATTATGTGTATAAAACTTGAAGGTATGTTTTTATAAAGTGCAAGTGAATACATATATTAGAACTTAATTGAGCAAAAAATTCAAATACTCATTATGTTAAAAACAAAAAATAAAAGCACTCAACTACGTTGTTGTGTATATATATGAAATGTTACAACTCAAGTTTTTATGACTTCTACCCTTGTTGGGTTAACAAGCCCTGTGAGTTAAAAGAGTTCTCCCTACATTTTCTTGCTTGCCCTAATTAGAGCTTTTCTAAAAGTAATTTAATTCTATTAAACCTTTTCTAGGTATGTTCTACAATATAAAATGTGAGAAACAACAAAATATTATTTAACAGAATCATAAATTTTGCTAAACTCAAAAACTTAATTAGATGTTAAGAATTCAACTTCAAGCAATATTACGATTACAGTGTCACAGTTGCAGCTTCTGATTCTCTATACCTCAATTAGCTTTTGAAAAAGCCAACGAAAAAACTATACTTACTTTTTATTATTTTCAAGAGTATTTCAATTAATTAAAAGTTTTAAACCCTAAACTTTAAAATAGGTAGGGATGAATTAAAAAAAATTATTACTTATTATATATATAATTCACCATTTGATATATATATTTATTTTTATCATAAAATTTTATTTAAAATAAAATTGCATCTGCATCAATTTTGACTAAAAACAATAGTATCAGAAAAAACAATTTTGCATCGGATTCTCCTGTAAAGTATTTTTACAATCATCGTCGCAATAAAACCATTGTACTTCTCCATTTCCTCATCTGAATTGACATGGTTCACGTTTTAAAAAACTTATCAATCACATTCAAATTCAAAAAACATTTTCTGTAGGTTTCCAACTGGAGTAAAGACGGTGTTGAGCAACAGGGCAGACATGAATCATAAGTTGTGTGGAGCCGAGGCCAACTCAGACAAAGTCATTCGGAGGTAAAAGTAAAATTGAGTCAAAACCAGAGTTCCTAACCAAAAGTAAGTAGGATGGGACCAGTCTCATGCCTAATGATTTTGCCTCAAGTGATGGAAAATGAACGGGGGGTCATTTTTCATGTGACATTCACATGGGAATATGGAATACAGAAGGGAAAATTATAAAAGGTGCCAGTAGGTGAATAAATTAAATAATTTAATAATTTTTTTATAAAAATAAAAAATATTTTAATTTTAAATTTTATAATATATAAAAAAATTATTTTTTTATCATGTAATTCATCATTTCTCGTGAATTTTTTTTTTTTTTTTGTGAAAATGGTCAATTCAATAGGGAGTAACTTTTTGGTCTGTCGCATAATTATTCTGACTACCACTAAATAGAGTTAGGTCTAGACGCCGATGGTCCAAAAATATCCGCCACATCTCTATTATTATTTTTTTTTTTGGTCTATTTTGGTTTATGAAGAGAATGAAGAAGGGCTTGCCGGCTCACTTAATGTATGTTTTTTTTTTTTTTTATCATGGGTTTGATTTTCATTCTTAATTTTTTTTTCTCGAACCACTTATTTTAATAAAAAAAAAATAAAAAAGGTATTTTTGTAATTTTAATTATTTAATTTAAATTACACGATAATAATTATTGATGTAATTCAAATGACGCGTAAGAGAATTAAACAAAAAAGCCGTTACTTTACTAAACATACATAATCTTTGAAAACAATGATTATTTTGGAAGAGAATATCTACCCTACAATTTAATTAAGAACTTATTGCCTACCACTCAAAAAATTAAGTGATTTATATTTTTTACCTTATATTAAAAGAACTATGAACATAAAACACTAAACAAGCTATTATATATTATGAATTAAGAACAAGAATTCTAAAAGGATTCTTAACTCGTCAGAGAATGGAATTTTAAATTAAATATATATTTTAAATTTAATTTTTAAGACAAATGTATATTACCTTAAAAAAAGAAAGAATATGTATCATTATATAAAAGAATAGTTTGAATTAATGATGATTAATTATTATTTTTTTATCTTAATTATATAATAAAAAACAAATATTTTTTATTTTTTATTTTATTTTATTTACCTATCATATTACTTAAATTTAAAAATTTTTATTTTTAACGAAAAAAAACTACTCAACTAATTATTTATTATGCTTCTCAAAATGGTAAATTAATTAGTTGTTGCTTGGTCGTTGGTATATGGTATTGGTATGAGAGGTGAAGTGAAAGCAACAAAAGTGCTTCCATTATGGTTCCTGCTTCTGACAGGTGCAACTTGGCTGGGTAGTTAAAATCATCTAAAAGCCGAACATATACTGCTTTTTTTCTTTTTCTCTTTTACTTTCTAATTTTAGCAATAATTAATTTTTTAGCCATATAGTAATATCAAATAGATTATTTGTAGAGGAATTGAGACATCTAAGATGATTTAGTGATAATATTTTTTGATATTAAATATGGTTTACTTGTTTGATGCTATTTATTAGAGTATATCAGTTATGATAATATTATAATTATAATGTTATATAAAATTATAAATTTATCATTATAATATAATATTAAATAAATTTTTTTATTCTATTTTCTTAAAATATAGGATAAGAATGTATTTATTACATTTCTTTATAATTAATATACATAATAAAATTAAAAATTGATATTAAATTTATTGATTATCCAATAAAAAATATATGTGTAATAAGTGTTAAAATTAACATTTACTTTTTTATTTTTTATGTAGATTAATACATAATTAATGATAAAAATATATAATAAATACACTCCTATCCTATTTCTTAACAAACTTTTAAATAAATATGATATGATATTAAATAAATAAATGTATTATCATTAATACATAATTAATGATAAAAATATATAATAAATACACTCCTATCCTATTTCTTAACAAACTTTTAAATAAATATGATATAATATTAAATAAATAAATGTATTATCATAAATAAATTTTTAAATAAAAATTAATTTAAATAATATAATATTTTATTATTTTATAATTTGTAATTATAATATTCTTGTAATATTTATTACCAACAAATATTGTGAAGTAATAATTTTTACAATATATTTTTTTTAACAAGTACAAATTTAAAGAAAAGAAATTTGAATCTAAAACTTAAAGTTGGGGATATACTTTTTGTAAAGATTTATAACTAATTAATCTTTTAAGCTAAGTTCCTTTTTTATAGTATTTAAAAAAGACTGGTGCTATTGAGATAACTTTTTTGTCCCACCTTTTTATATAACTCTCATATATTATTAAATGAGTAGATGTATTCAATATCATGTGTCTCATATAAATTAAAAAAACTAATAATTTTAATAACATATTAAGTTGTAAAAAATAAGAGATGAAAAAGTTATACAAAAAGTATTTTCCTTTCAAAAATCAAATTATGACAAAAATATTAATATTCAAATCTTTCCATAACAGATATTCAAAGTTGAAACTTTTGTGCAATGTAGTTAGACTTGCAAATTGCAGGGCATGACTGCATCTATAAGATGCCAGACCTCAAGTCGAGGATTAGATGGATGCCCAATTAATTATGGAGACAACATTTGGCTCCACGTGACATGTACCGCCGTGTTTGGTTTAGACATTTACCCAAAAAGAACAAGTGCTAACGGAAGCAATTTAAATTGTTGAGAGCTTAGATAAGGAAAAATGGACTTTGGGATGGGAGGCAAAATAATTAATTATGGCAAGTATAACTGATTAACTGTTTAGGAATCACTTTTTGTTTTAAAAATGTGGGAAAGTTTCTTTGAAAGATTATAATTGATGACACCCTAATCACCTTTGTTTTTTATTATAATAAACTATTTTTTTTTTTGGTACATATTATAATAAACTATATTGTTATATTAATAAGATTGTAAAAAATTAAAATATTTTGAAACGATAAAAATTTTTACAAATTATTTAATATTACTAATAAATGAATATATAACCATGCTCCTGCAACCCAAAACTTTGACCGTTGATTTATGATGGGGGGAAAATTACAGAAAACTCCGTCCATTACGGATCTGAGTGGCGGGTAATTATTGGAACGGAGTGGGGTTGGAAAATTGTGGAGGTAAAATGGCCACGTGGACAAATGTGAGGGCCCCAATTATTACTACAGTAGGAGAGAATTGCTGAGTCCGTACTCTTTGAATGGGGACATAAGAACTGTCCACTGCCACCGAAGTCAAAGTTCGTTGGTTTTCTGTCCAAAATGCCCTTGCCATCTAACTTCCGTTTTATTTTTTTAGTAACTCCTTTATAATTATTTGACTATTATTGAGTTTTTTTTTTAAATACTGTTAGTATTTTTGAGCCGTGGTTACCACCGTACAAAATAGGGTTAATGTCATCTATCATCCCTCTACTATTAATAATAGTTCAATATAAACCTTTTATTATGGATTAGCTCCATGTCGTCCCTCTATTATCAATTAACTCCACTTGTCATCCCTCTACAATGCTAAAACATATTAATGTCGTCCTTCCATCCAATGCAAGCTAACGATACTGTTTATTGACCATTAAGTGCAACCATCACACCAATGAAGCCTTTCAAAAATTTTTTGGCCACCTTACCTTGTGAGCTTCACCCTTGCCACATCATCTCCAACCTATACGAGGCTTTTTCATTAGACAAAGTAACTATTTGCTGCATTGATGGGATGACTATAATCTAGTTATCCAGTAGGACAATATCATTTATAAATAATTCCTTTGGAGTCTTTTATTTTACATCAAGGATATTGTTACAATTAAAATCGTTAATAACTTAATATTGTTAAACTTATGGTAATTAATAATTTTGTTAAAATTATTAATTTTTATTATAATTTTATAATTTTTTACTAGTTAATTATAATATTTAAAAATAGTTATTTAAATTTATTTAACAATAAATATTAATTATTTTATTAATTATTAATTATTTTTAACAATTACATTAAAATATAAAATTTAATAATTTTAATAGTCCTAATAAAATTAACAATGGCCATAACTTTATTCCTTACTATCATATACCAATGGATATATACTATATCCCAATGAACTTTGAATGAAAATTAAAAGAAATCATTAAATGATACGTAAGGTTATATAAAAAAATTATATTTAAATCTTTTTTTAATATACAATTGGAGATAACTTTTTTTTCATTTTTTAATCCATTTTATCTACATATTATGTAATTTGAACTTAAAATCTCTTAAATTTACTAAAAATAAATTACTACTGAACTATATACTTAAGTTATTGGCAACAATTGCACCTTATATATCAGCCTAACAATTATTTTTATTCACTTAATGAATATTTCTATTTAGCTTTTACTTTGTTGTAATTTTTTCAATTGTTATGTATTTGTCAAAATAAATATTCTAATCACTTGTTAAAGCTTTTTTTTTTGTTAAAACCCCATTTTGGTCCCTCAACTATTGTACGGACCGCCGATTTGGTCCCTGAACTAAAAAAATCCCTGATTTGGTCCATACTGTTTACCATTTTGACCCCAATTTGGTCCTTCCGTTAAAAACTGGCTTACGTGGACCGTTACTTGACGGACAAAAAGGTGACAATTTAAATACCTTGCCACATAGGATTGATAATGAAATAAATTATAAAAATAAAATTATTAAATGTTAAATTATAAACATAAAATTACATTTTTACCCTTTCTTCAACCACACATCACTTTCTTTCCTTCCTCCTTTCGTTGCCCCTTACTTCCCCCTTACTTTTCATCTCCAACCTCTTTCGTTGTTCATCTTCTTCCCTTGGATCCTTGTTTGCCGGCTTGGGTTTTAATCTTCTCCTTTCCCATCTCCTCATCATCTCTTTCCTTTCATCATTTATCATCTCCTCTTCGAAACCCAACAGATCTGCTGGGTTGTCGAGAACCCAGCGATATGCTGGGTTCAACAGCAGATCGCTGGGTTCTTCGATCTACTGGGTTCGATTTCCAGCGATCTGCTGGGTTCTCGAGAACCTAGCGATTTGCTAGGTTTGATTTTTTTTAAAAAAAATATTTATGTTTAGAAGCTTGAATTTTAGGGATATTTTTGGGTTGCAGCTGATTGTTTTGCTAATGAATATTTTGTTTGTGTGGGCTGTTCTCATTGAGAATTTGGCAAAAATTGGTTGAGGGAAAAAATTTGCCCATATGGCTGCTTGTAATTATCGAACATCTGCTGGGTTCTTGAGAACCCAGCAAATCATTGGGTTCAATCAAGAACCCAGCGATCTGTTGGGTTCTCAAGAACCTAGCGATCTTTTGGGTTCGATTTCTTTTTTTTTTTTTTTAAATATTTATGTTTAGAAGCTTGAATTTTGGAAAAGTATGCCTAGATATTTCTGAGTTTTTTTGGGGAGGTTGAAAGAAAGAATTTAGGGCGGTGATGGTCTGGGAAGATTCTGGATTTGTATTATTTTTTGGTTTAATGTTAGAAGCTGTTAGGGTTTGCAGAAGGCGAAAGGAAAGGAAGAAGACGAAAGGGAAAAAAGGAAAATCAAAGGAAGAAAAAAAAAAAAA